TGGAAAAAGTAACATAATACAATAGTTAAGCATGTAGTCAATATAGACATGAAAATGGGAAATTTTAATGCTCCTTTCTCTAAGCTGGCCAGGTATGAGTAGAATCACAGGTGATCAACATAAATGGTTTTCACTACATCGCACAAAACTTCCAGGTTATTGCATTAAAACTGTGTTTGCTGTCAATGCTACAATGCTGCCCACTGGATCTGGACTCTTGTTAAGCAGACGCTCAGGTTTGAAAAGATATCAACACTGCTTGAGAAACATTGTCTTTGAGCCATAAGTTTACATATTAAAAGAACTGTACATGAAAGTCATATAAAACAAAAGCTCAAATACATGATCTCTTTTTAAGCTAAGAATACTCTTTTTGATCTTTTGACACCTACTGTATATATACCAATTCATACTTACACGTTATTACAATTAATTACAATGTCATACACAAAGTTATATGATAAAATAAAATATATGAAACAAACTTACAAATCGTACAAACAAGAACTAACTTCAGATCAATTAAAATATATATGGCAAATATATTGAGCATATTTAAATTATTTTCAAACATAACAGATATTCCTCATACACACAATAACAAACTGACGTCTGGTTACCCTTCAAATTCTTTGTTACTGCCACTAAAGGCCATTTATATTACATTACCATCAAGAGAGAGTAAAGGCCAGTCACAAAACCTAACATAAGGCACTTAATGTTTGAGATGCATTACAAGGCTTACAAATAATTTGCACTATAAAATAATGGTCAGTCCACTCATATTCTAAAGATTAAAGAAACAAACTCCGTGATTTTAGTCCGCAAGCGAACTGTACCGACCAAGCGACCGCCACTTGTCAGCAAAGTTTAGTGCAAACTTTTGAGGACAGAGATGTCATGTGGTCAGTGCAACAAATTCCCATGGCCATTAATTTCTGGTTTCTAGAACGAAGCCAGCATTTCCTTGAAATAGCTCCTCAATTATCATCATGAGGCTGTGTGGACCCCATTCCAGACCAACTACTTCTGAGAAAAAATGTGGTAGCGCTGGGAATCGAACCTGGACCTCTGGATCTGTAGCCAAGAACGCTGACCACTAGACAACAGAGGCGGTCAACAAAAAATTAAACACAACTAAAATACTGAGAATTTATGGTAACATCCTTTCACTGTAGAAAACCAAAGTCTCAAAATACAATTTTAATGTATATCACAGTGTTTGACCAGGAAAAAAAGGATAAACTACTTGTTTCAGTTTTCAATGGATGCATCCTGTCGTGTTAAATACATAAATCTCTTTATTAAAATCCGTCACAACACAACGACAAAACAATTTATGTTTAACAGTATTTTGCTGCATGTTTCGGCTTTTTTGAAAACCATCACCAGGGAAATATACAATTAACGTGTTCTTAAGCAAACCGTCTTCCTACCAGACTGGACATAATACATGTAAATAGAGATACCCGTCAAATAATATCAAAACTAGATAATACTGCATGCATACCAAAGGGCCTCCAAGCATTTTAACCACTTCATACATGTATACAAGCAAGAAAACTGTTGTCATATGTCCGCAAAACACATAACAATTGCAACAACCTACCTTAGTAGGTCATATTATATGCATATTTCTTAATTAATTTTAATTATGTAACTTATCTCATTTAAAATCTTTATAATTTATATTATAATATTACAGTATACTGTCAAAAATCCAACACTGCACTGAATTATATAGAATGCAATTCAATAGCTTAAGCACACATTAATTGTGTATTTGCCTGATGATGGCTTTCTAAAAAGCCGAAACATGTAGCAAAATACTGTTAAACATTAACTGTTTTGTTGTTGTGTTTTGACAGATTTTAATAAAGAAATTTATACTTGTTTCAGTATTCTACATATTTTCTATGCAGAGGCATACTGCAATAGAAGCGCATGTCATGCAACTTCAGTATCTGCATAAGCAATCATCAGAAGCTACGGAACTAACTAACTAGCTGGGTCCTTCTCGAGAACCTACCAGTTGCTCCACTGCTCCCAAAACTTCCCAACATTTTATGGAACCTCAAGGCTTATTACTGTGTTCACAAGAGATCTCCACTGGCCCCTATCCTGAGCCAGATTAATCCAGTCCATACAATCCCATCACATTTCTCTAAGACCTATTTTCATATTATCCTCCCACTTTCACCTAGGTCTTCCTACTGGTCTCTTTCCCTCTGGTTTTCCCACCAAAATCCTATTTACACTCTTCTTCTCCCTTATGCATGCCACATGCCCTGCCGACTTCATCTTCCTACATACTGAAAATAAGCTGACTATGATGATAAAAGCATCAATGGAGAATTACCATCCCATCAGAATCCTCCTGCAAGCAACAGCTTCCATGATGCTCAACATTTATCACCTGCAGACATGTTGATGTTCATAAGTATGTTCATAAATGTGTATACCTGAATGAGAAACAGCAGTTATGGCACTGTCATACATAAAATCCATGTCAGATGCTACACTGCAACATTGCACATGTGTGGCTGTAAAGTGTACAAATTCTTCTATTAGAATTCATGTATGTGAAGTTTTTGTGTGTTGTATAATTACTTGTCTGTGTACTTACTCGAGGTGGGGGACTATATTAACAACCTGAGCAATGATACAAAAGACAGCAGCTTCCTCATCCATAATTTTTAACACTTGATGATGACCACAATGGTCAAAACGGGTAGTGTAAAACTTTAAAGTGAATAACTTAATTAGTTTTATAGAACATCAGTTTGCACATGAGACTGAGCAACTAACGGATACTAAGGATGACTGAATTAATCACATCCTGCAAACTATAAATGCTTGAAAATGGCAAGAATATCAGATACTGTTCTTATTGTGTGTCTGTTAATTCCATTCAGTAATGGTTTCATATATAAATTGCTAATATAAACATGAATCAAATTATATGCTAGCTTACAATTTAACTGTCTGCAACCAGATATCATATATTTTACAGTATTTCACTATATGATAAGATGTTTAAAAAGGTCTCTTGGTAAAGAAATTAATTAAAATTACTCACTCACTTGTCACCAATGAACTATGAATATTCTGATGACAGCACATGCCATAACTAGCAGAATTTTGAGAATCAGAATGAGTAGGGTTATGGCAAGTTAGTTCATATCATCAATACACTACTCTGTGATAATATAAAATTACTATGAACATTACACATTAAGAGTGGTGACTATAAATAAATGATTTTGAGAGACAGTGCAATAAATGACAAAGAATGGAGGAATTCTAAGAAAATCTGTCCTAGTGTTAATTTGTCCACATGAATTAGCTGGGTCTTAAATCTTGGACTAACTGGAGGAGAGGGAGATCAGCAATGAGTCAGGTAAGTGCAATCAATAACTGGGTTTTGCAACTGAGACATTTTCCATAGTAATAATGTCTTTCACCTAAAAGAAACAAAATTAGTAGTTGAATCCAAAAACATTACTATTGTGACATGGCATCTGAAGCCCTGAATACTGGAAGAGGAAATGTTAAGTGGTGGAACTGTTAAAAATGTGACAACAGATATGCACAAGCAACAACAGAAGAGCTGCAGAAAGTGATGTTTTCCATGAGGTCCATCCTGAGGCTATATAAGACAAGCCAATTAGGGCTTTGAATTAGTTTGGAGACAGGCAGTAGAGGCCAGACATGGCTGGCAGTCAATGGACAGGAGTTGTGGTCATGAAGAGCTAGTGTGAGGACAGACACCAGCCAGTGAGAATAGAAGCTGTGGAACGTGGAAGCCAAGGAATCTGTGGCATTGGGAGGCATTGCCAAGCAACACTCAGTGAAGACACAGCAGACTGAGAAGACTTAGTGCATGCCATATTGAATTGTAAAACATGAGAATCAGTGAAATGGGTATAATTACTCATATTATATTTAAGCATCCTGTTGCACTCCATACGATAAATGATATAAACTCCGTCTCAAGTGCAAACAATATATTCTGTGTCTTTGATCTTGCTCCCTACACTACACGTTTCGGCCTCAGACGGCCATCATCAGGTGTATAACACTCACGTTGCTGTCACACTGCACCCAGTTCAAAATTTAACATCTAAAACACTCTCCCTGTCATTATCAACTTCTACTTCGTTGATAGCTGTCCACCCGTAGATTACTTCACACAC